CTCCTCGGTTCATAGATCACTATCATCACTAGCCTTGCTTCATTTATTTATTCTTTTTATGTTTTCATTTCCTACTCCCATTACACCCTCCTATAGGCAACTCTTCTTTTTTCTTTTCTTTCTTTCTTTCTTTTTTTTTCGTACAGGGTCTCACTCTGTTGCCCAGGCTGGAGTGCCATAGTGTGATCATAGCTCACTGTGATTTTGAATTACTGGGCTCAAGCAAATCCTCCCGCCTCCACCTCCCAAGTAGCTGGGACTACAGGTGTGTGCACCAAGCCCTGCTAATTTTTTTTTTCTTTGGGTGGAGATGGTAGTCTCACTATGTTGCCTAGGCTGGTCTCAAACTCCTGGCCTCGAGGGATCTTCCTGTCTCAGCCTCCCAAAGTGCTAGGATTACAGGCATGAGCCACCACATCCAGCTGACAACTCTTCTAATGTATTTGATGTGTATACTTAACTAGTATATGTTCTTGTAAAATCTGTATTGCTGTTTGTGTGCATATATATTTTCTTACCTTTTTTTGCACTTAACACTATCCTTTGAGACCTACCCATATTTCTAGGTGTGCATCTAGTATGTTGCTTCTAACCGATGTAGAATATTCTATAATGTGTACCCACCACATGTTGCCTGTCCACTCCCCAGTGATGAGTAGTTGGGTACCCTCCAATTTCTTCCATTACAAACAAAGCTATAATCAACCTCCTGCATCTCATCTCCACTTATGGATCTGTAGGAGAATATCTTTGGGCTATATCCCAGGAGAGGGAATGCTGGATCATGGGGACCTCTAGGTTGCTTTCCGGATGGCTCTACCAGTTAACACTCTCCCCAGCAATGCATGAGGGTTTGTAGACCCCACATCCCTGTTAACACTTTCCATCAAGTAGATTTCAATTTTTTGCTAGTCTAATGGATAGGAAATGATACTTTGTTGTTGTCCTAATTTTCATTTCATTGTTAGTAATGAATTTGAACATCTTTTTAGATAGATGTTTGTTGGCTTTTTTGGGCTTCCTCTTTTGCAAACTGTCTGTTTTTATCCTTTGACTATTTTTATTTTAAAGTTCTATCTTACCCCATTGATTTGATGGAGTTTCTTAGATATTCTAGAAAAGCAATCCCTTATCAATTTTAGCCATTGTCAATATCTTCCTTCAAAGGCTCTTACCTTTTTCAAAAGAGTCCTTTGTTGAAGGAAATCTTTACTTTTAATGTAATTCAACTCATGAATGTTTGGGCCTTATGATTTATATTTGAAG